CAAGCATGATGTCCCTCTCCAAGGACCGGTCTCTCCTCACAACATGTCCAAAGTATGTTAGATGGAGCCTCAGAATCCTTGTCTCCAAGGAGACACCCGGTTTAACCCTTTCTAGGACAAATAGGGACTGTATAACAATGAAATAATTTTTCTTTTACTTTTCAAAGAGAAGGTTGGACAGGGAGAAAAGTACTACAATGAATGAAAAGAGATCCAAAGTCTCTCTAAACTTTCATTAAAATTAATAAAAAAAAGCTAAATGGGGGGAAAACCCCCATTTTGCAGAGTTTGTATGCTTGTTTTGTTATGCCTCTGGGTGGAGTCAATCAATGTCATCCATCTACTTCCTACAGTTTTATAGCCCAGCCCAACAGTAAGTCTTGGATTAGAAGTCTGATACTGAAAATGGAAATGAATCAGGCAGCCTTTCTAGTGCTCCTCCTTCTTAAGGATTCCTTTACATCAGATAAATTCCAGTTTGATAAATTTCAGTTTAGTATCAGAAAACTTAAAATTCCCTTCAACAGTGCTTCAGAGGTTTTCAGGGGAGCCTAGAGCATAAAGCGCATCTTCAGCCACGGTCTCCGAGGTGGAAGATGGATGTCCTCATCTCTTTATTTTGCCTGGTTAGCAAAGTGGCTTTGTGCCATGTGACATGAAGTGCAGGGTGTTCACTTCAGTTTTTCCTTCTTTGGGGTTTTATTTTCTTCTCTGACTAATCTTCTATTTCTGGTCCTCAGATGGAAGGAGGAACTATTAGCTCCAGAGGGGCCTATTTAGACAGGAGTTACTGGAAAGAGCCCAGAGGACACGAGAATGGGAACACAACCACTGGGTGGGAAGGATTCAGAGATTTTTCACTACATGATTATTGCATGGCCCTCACATTGTTATCGAAGTTGTAAGGGTTGAAATTTACAGTCATATGGAAAATGCGAACTTTTTACAGATGGTCTTGGTATTGTTGTTGTTGTTATGTGCCGTCGAGTCGCTTGCGACTCATAGCGACCCTATGTACAACAGCCCTAAACTCTGCTCTGTCCTGTGCCAATCA